TGCATACAAAAATGAATAGAAAATTTCTCCAGAAAAGAAAACCAAATTTTTTTACTTCATTATTCTCAAATGAGAATACAAAAATCATAAGCATTTTTCTTTTCCATTCCGAGGCGTGAGAAAGGCATCCCTTGAATATAATTTTGAAGAAAAGAGAAAACCTTAGGAAAGTTTCCGCAGAAAAGAAAACCGAACTTTTTTACTTCCCAAAGGAAAAATCTTTGTGCAAGAACTCGATATCGTTCTACGCTAATGTTGCCGTGACGTCACGATTCTGTCACGGGGTTGGGAAGAAGATCTGGTGGTTGAGCAGTCATTGCTTTTTTAAAATAATGTGTAAAATTTGCAAGATGGAAACGTTTTTATGTATTGATACCAGAAATAAATAAAAAAGTCTTCCATTCAAATCTTTTTTTCCTAGAATATTGCCCGCTTAAACTTCAGGAAAATGTATTTTTTAAACTCTTATAACCAGATTATTAATTTTTGTATCTTTAAAGTTAAGACAATGATTAAGAAAGTTTATAGTAATACGCCGTCCTTGTTGTAACGAGCTCTTGTTGTTTGTTTTTATGTGATTTCATAATTTATTTAGCGCTTGCCTCTTAAAAATCATCAATCCTCTTAAAAATCATAGATCCATAAAAATCCGATCTTTAGATTAAGAATATACTGTTTTTCATTTTGTTTAAAATCTTTACTGGTCTTAGATCCTAACAGCCATAAATGAAATATTTGGTAGGCTTTTGTAGACAACGCATGAGTTTTGTATTCGAAAATAGATGTATTTCATCAAAACGGCAAGAGATCGTTCTCGTGACTAATAGCGTCAGCAAAGAATTGTGCCCGGGAAAATTGTCGCGATGGAGAAATGCGCCTGCCACAAATTGCGGCGACGGAGAAATGTGCTTGCCACAAATCTTGGTGACGGCGAAATGTGTCTCCGACAAATTGTGGCGATAGAGAAATGTTCATGCTACTAATTGTGGCGACGGAGAAATGTGCTTGCCACAAATTGCGGCGACGGAGAAATGTGTCTCCGACAAATTGTGACGAAGGAGAAATGTGTCTCCGATAAATTGTGACGAAGGAGAAATGTGACTCCGACAAATTGTGGTGATAGAGAAATGTTCATGCTACTAATTTTGGCGACGGAGAAATGTGCTTGCCACAAATTGCGGCGACGGAGAAATGTGTCTCCGACAAATTGTGGCGATAGAGAAATGTTCATGCTACTAATTGTGGCGATGGAGAAATGTGCTTGCCACAAATTGCGGAGACGGAGAAATGTGCTTGCCACAAATCATGGTGACGGAGAAATATGTCTCCCACAAATTGTGACGACGGAGAAATGCGTCTCCGACAAACTGTGGCGATAGAGAAATGTTCATGCTACTAATTGTGGCGATGGAGAAATGTGCCTCCAACAAATTGAGGCGATAGAGAAATGATTTTGCCACAAATCGTGTCGACGCAGGAATGTGCCTGCTACAAATCGTGGCGGCGGAGAAATGTGCCTCCGACAAATTGTGGTGATAGAGAAATGATTTTGCCACAAATCGTGTCGACGGAGGAATGTGCTTGCTACAAATCGTGGCGGAGAAATGTTCCTGCCACAAAATCTGGCAATATGAAAATGTGGATCCGAAAAATTGTGGAGAAGGAGAAATGTGCCAGTCACAAATTGTGGCGATGGAGTTATATGACTGCCACAAATTGTGGCGTCGGAGATATGTGCCTGCCACAAAATCCGACGATGGAGAAAAAGTGCCTGTCACAAATCGAGGCGACGGAGAAATGTAACTGCCACAAAATCTGGCGATGGAAAAATGTGCCTCCGAAAAATTGTGGCGACGGAGAAATGGACTCGCAATGAATTGTCGCCGAGAAGAACTGTCCCCACAATGAATCGTACTCAGATATGTTTTTATTAATTCAAAGTATTTTTTCAACTGTGTGTGAAAGATTTAAATTGTGCTAATTATTTTTGGCGGAATCAAAGCAACAGACAGAGATAGGCGAAGTTTCTGTGAAAATTTCATTGATGTAATAACATTTACAAAGTTAAGCAGAATGAGATTTACAGGAAACATTTACCGTTTAGATACAAGACATAACAAGGGCTAATTGGTTGAGGACGTCTAAAAATTTCGATGGCTGGACTCCATTAATTCGGATTTTAAAACCATATGGGTATTAAACTCTTACAAGTTTTGGGGACAAAGAGAACTGCTTAGAGAAATGTTTTGGCTCATCCTGGGCTAATGTGCAAATGATGTTAATGCTTGCTATTCTGTCATTATGGCTACAGATTTCTACATGATTTTGAACACTGTATTATTACAAAATGTGTGGTAAGAAGTTTAGGGAATTCGTGGCTATATAAAGGTATGGTAAAAATAAGACTGTTTCTCTGATAAGCGTTGAAAACAAGTGGGTGAGCGTGGGAAAAAAATTATTCGAGCCCAATGGGATACCTGCAAGTGACGTAGTGTGGGTATCTCGATCCTGATTGGTTATTGAAACGTGGCTTTTGTTTACGCTAGCAACTGTTCTTTTTATTCTACTTCGAGGAAGCCAAGCCTGTCAAGTACCAATTCTCTAAAGTAACGTAGCCTATAATCTTTCACAAATATTTGAATTCTGCCACTATATAATAACACAAAGACCGGCACGAAGCCATGTAGAACACAAACAAACTTATTATGCATCGAAGTTGCCAGGTACGCAAAACAAAAATATATAACAGTTACAATTAAATACATGAACAAATAATAAATTAAAGTTAAGTAAAAGAAGTAGACTAGAAAGAATTATATTTAAACAAATTTGATTTGCTATACGGTTCTCTATTTAATTAACTCAACGTTAATTAATATTTTAAGTTATGTAGAGAGACTTAGCTCAACTTTAATACTCCATATTGCTGATAAAGATTAGCTGGTGCTGACGTCATAGGTCACATGCATGGGNAAGAAAAGTAATTGATATTCGATTTTTGATGAATAATTGATTTATGTGGATAGTGGCATTTATGTGGATAGTGGCATAGAATTTAGCATTGCGTCATGGTAAATGTTATTCCTACTAAGTGGAAGTAGTTGTGTTTTTTTTAAATTATACCCAATTGGTTGAGGACGTCTAAAAATTTCGATGGCTGGACTCTATTAATTCGGATTTTAAAACCATATGGGTATTAAACTCTTACAAGCTTTGGGGACAAAGATAACTGCTTAGAGAAATGTTTTGGCTCATCCTGGGGTAATGTGCAATTAATGTTAATGCTTGATGTTGTGCCATTATGGCTACAGATTTCTACATGATTTTGAAAATTCCTATTTTTTTAACACTGTATTATTACAAAATGTGTGGTCAGAAGTTTAGGGAATTCGCGGCTACATAAAGGTAGGGTAAAAATAAGACTGTTTCTCTGATAAGTGTTGAAAACAAGTGGGTGAGCATGGGAAAAAAAATTATTCGAGAATTACCAGACTTCCCCCCAGCCTATTATTAAAATGCAATAAGAATATCAAGTCTTAACTGAAAAGCTAAAAATATAGTAGCCAGTCAAAACGCCAGCGGTGATAAGACAATAGTATTTCATGAATAATGACTATCTGGTCAAAATTATCTGAACACACAGTGGTATGGACTAAGAGCGTCCAGAGGCACTTATTAAGAGGATGTTGGTCTCCTGCATCGATGACAGCCTGCACACATCTGGGAAGACTTTTCACCAGTGTTTGATAGGAATTGACTTCCATCACAGCTGAAGTGAGTGCTTGCAGTCGATTTCGCTGGCTACGTAATCCAGGCTCTAATTCGTCCCAAAGGTGTTCTATGGGAATTAGATCGGGACTTTGAGAAAGACAGTACAGTTCTTGAACACCCATTTCCTCCAAACCATGCCCGTGCAAGTCTCGATGTGTTAATAGAGCAGTTATCTTGCTGGAAGAGAAATGGGTTTTTCCCGAAATATTGCCATAGAGTTGAGAGTGCAGCATTGTTCAGAATGTCCACATACATCTCAGAGTTTGTATTTCCAGTCACAAGAACTAGCGGACATAGGTCAAACCATGAGAAACACCCCCACACCATTATGCTTCCGCCACCCTAACAACCGTGTGACCAAATACTTTTGGCCAGACAGAGTACAAATGTTCAATCGAGAAACTTTCTTTTCTTTTTTAAAAGGCAATCACAGTGATATTTCCCTTGGGTTGACTGGGAAGAAAAATTGAAATATTTCTAAAATTAGGAATGTATTAACTCAAAATTTGCAAGATAGTTTTGAATAAAGCCAATTTTCGATTTTTTTTTTTTAAAAAAAAAAGCAGATTAATAATATTAAGCTATTTTAGGAGAACTAGAATCAGTGCATGCACTCTGTCTCAATATATTGGCAGTTTATCAAATCTAAACACCTAACTCATATTTAACTATTTTATTTGTGTTCATGTCTATTATTTTTTTTTACCCATTGGCAAAAATGGGTCTTTGGATTTGATGGCATCCACACACTTTTTAACTATGTTCAAGAGTAACAGTAAACAGTATGCATGCATCGTCATTGCATGCGTTGCTATGGCGATTATATTGAAGTTGAAGAAAGTAAATACATAATGATTTTACAATGATTAAGAATTAAGATTTTCCCATAAATGGGGCATACAAAACTTTTTCACCGATATAAAATTTAATTCCATATGTTTTAGATCGTGACAGTTAAAAGTTTAAGCAATCGAGATGGTTTATATATTTGAGTAAAAATTTCAGTTGTCGGAGGTCGTTATAGAGAAAACTTCAGAGGAAGGTATTGGCCCACATTGGGATGTCTGATCAACTAAGAGGATAATGAAAAATTTCAGAGAAGCAATAATTGCATTTGTTTGAATTTTAGTTTTAACATTTTCCTAAATGTAAATTAAGAATACAGACCATCTTAAGGATTGATAATAAGTGAAAGAGAAGTTTTGCAAAAATGAGAGTAGTACAATTACCTGCCAAAATGAAGAGGGCTCAGGAGGACTTTGAGGAGGAGTCAATTGAGAAGCCATAACATTTCATCATTCGCTAAGAATAATCCAAATTGATAACTCCCAACACACTAAAAGAAAAGAAGAAAAAAAAACTAAGAAACATTAGCAAACTCCATACAAGTGGAAATGTTTTAAATTAATAACTATAAACAGGGGTAGAAATTGAGAAAAATTATGACCAGTAAATCAAAAATATAACTAGTTGTTCATGTATTTTAACAGGTCTGTAATAAATTTTATCCCTCCTATTTTTTTTATTTATAAAATTAAAGTTAACTGAGTAAATTTAAATAAAAAATTGCAAAAAGAAAGTGTGTAATGTTTATAAAGATGAGGAAACAGGCTATTGTGTGGGAAAGAAAAACATAGGCAGTGACATGAAATTGATGATAAAAAAAAACAAAACAGCTTATCATTCCTTTGCGTGAATTGCTGGTACACGGGGCCACGAACAATAATTTTATAATAGTCCTAATTAAATTTTAGTGGTTCCAGACTAACAGGCCCTGATCAATATAACACTGTACAGTTTAGACAATAAAACTAACCATGAAGACTTTTTTTATACAAAAGAGTTTAGACTAAACTCAGTGACACGACAACCCATAGAAGCACATGGCCTATTGTGCACATCTCAGTTTTCCTGACTTTCGGCTCTCGGGCGCAGGAGCCCATATTCCGGTTGGGGGGTCAACCGAACACGGAAACCCCATTGTTTAGTTCCCAAGCATGCTTGGTACTAATTTTATCGACAAACTGAAGGGATAAAAGGCTGTTTATGTTATTACAATGAACGATTTTTTTTTATCAGGCTACTAATAATCATTTTATAATAGTCTTAAGTAAATTTTAGTCGTTCCAGACCAACAGGCTCTGATTAATAATTTAACATTGTTAGGTTTCGACAACAAAAATAACCATGCAATATGTTTATTTAATAAGCAAGAATAAAAACTTTGTCATTTCCTTGATATATACAGTGCACAAAAAAATGTCAACTTGTATAATTTTTGATCTTATGATCAGATGATTTTCACGTTATAAGACACATATACAATACAAAAAAAGTCCTATATTTAAATTTCGATTTCTTAGAAACTATGCAATTGATTTTGCTTATATTTTGTCACATATTATTACACATTTTAAAATGATGTACAAAATTGTATGCCTTACAATTAAAATTTTTTTCGACTATTATTAAATAAAATAATAAATATTTACTAAAGTTTATTTTTCGCGTTGATTTATCTTTGGATAAACGAATTATATAATTGTGTGCAAATCTTTTTTTTTTTAATTCCCTTAAAAAGTTCAAGAGACATGGTGAAATATGCAAAAAATAAAACTAACATTGTGGGGTCCAAACTTTGGATCGCACTCCTAACCAAGCTATGGGGACCATATTTCTCAGATTGGGGCTATCCCCTACATTTTGAGAGTCAAAAATCAGAATCCGTTGAAAAATAGGTATGTTTATTCAGAGAATGTATGGTTTTGTGTCTGATTTTGTAACTTAAAATATAGTCTACGCCAATAATTTAGCATATTTGAGGTCACCCTCTCAAATCACTAAGATTGACACTTAGTACGTAAAAATCCAATCATTAGAACCAAAGTTATTCAGGGTGATACCCCCTCTTTTTTTTGAGCATTGTACATGCAGTTGAAAACTATGAAGTCACTGGAAAAGTTGACACTAGTTGGAATAGGAAAAAAAGTCATTGACTTAGCCCAGTTAAAAATTAGGGCCTGTAAGTTAAAAGAAGACTAGAAGTTTTTTATCTTGTGAAAATTATTTAAGATAAATATTTATAAATAGTATGTGAACAAAAATGTTACACAAATGAATAGTGTGACAATTAATTAAATTATAACTTATTATAAATTTAAAATTACATAAATGTTTTTGAACTAGCTCATATCTACTACTCTCCTACAAAGACGTATCCAGGGGAAACAGTGCCTGTATCAAATCTCGAATCGGCACCCTTCAAAAAATACTATATTTCCAATTTTTTAAGATAAAAAATAACAGCAATATTTGAAGACTGTAATAATTTTGGCTATATAGTAAAAGAGTATTATATATATTCAACATTTTGCAAAATAAAAGTCTGATTTTAATAATCTTGAACTTATGCAAAGATTCAAAATGTAAAGTCATTACAAAATATTTATGTCATTCGCTATTAATATCAGATGAAACAAAAGTAAAGACAACTGCTTTGAGAGGATGCCATACGGTGGAAGAAAATCATCATTGCAAATTTTCTTTCTCCTACTTTAATTTAAAAGAAAGAAAAAGTAAGTCGTGAAGTTTCAATCATTGAAAAAAAAAAAACACTTTAAAATATTATAAAAACAAATTATTAGAAGAGAAACCTACCATTGCGTATTCCTAAGTTATCATCTCATCATTTATTTTCATTTATACATTTTAAAATTTTCTTTTCAGTATTTGAAAATTCATGGCTTACTCTAAGTTTGTTTGAACTCACTTTTCCTACACTTTAAATTAGTAATGAAGGAGAAAGGTAATTTTTGACGAAAATTTTCTTACGTGTCATGATTGCCCCTATAATGAAGCACAGTTAAATTTTATAGTTTTTCAAACATGATATAGTTAAAAAAATATTGCTGAGTTTTTTTAATTTTTTTTTTTAAAAAATGGACAAGGACACAATTTAGAAATAAATCTCACTCATTATTAGAAATTAAACTTAAGTAGGGATGCATAACCTGAGGCCCAACGACTACTGATGTGTGGCCCGCGATCCTTCTGAACACAAAGAAAGAAATTTTATAAAGTGAAAAAATAACGAAAATTATGAAATACACATTTAAGTCACACTTCTACACTTTCTGATAATATTTGACTTTAATACACCTTTTGATGGGCAATTTGCATAGATTCTATCATAAATTTATGTTGTTTCTCGATAATTTTTTCCCAATGGTAATTACTTTGATATTCTGCATGATTTTAAAAATCCCAATACCTTAATACGATATTTCGATATGCGAATTTCAAACTTCAGTAAACACTTTTTGATTGCTTTATTTTTGTCGATTTTATCATAAATCCAAGTAATATTTTTGATCTTTTTTTTTGCAATAAGTCAATTTTTATGTGGTTTTTCAAATCTCGATACATTTATTATGATATTGCGACCCACGAGTTATTTAATTTATCACTTTTTGACGTGCTTTATTTGTACCAATCTTTTTTATACATGGTTTCATACAATTTCAACATTTTGCACAAATATATTTAATAAAGCTTATTTCATCAACTGTAATATTAAAATACAAAATGTAATTATATTTCAACATTTTAGTGCATATATATATATATATATAAAATTGAGATGAATATTGATAATATTACTATTTTCTGAAGATTTGGAGAAAATTTTAGTGGAATATAATCCACTAAATAGTACCTAATGTAAGTAATGAAAGCAATAGTAAATAGAGTAATATACGTTGGAGATCTTACAGAAAAGTCTGAATCAAAAATTTAAAATTATTGATTGCACAGCTTGTAGAAAATACCTTCACAAATACATATTTAAATAAGCATGTAAATGAACAATTAGTTGTAAACATTGTTACATACTGCTATGAAAAGTGGTAGGCAACACAAAAGATTTGAACTGCGATTAGCGTGCATGAGAAACTTGTGTCCTAAGTTTCCATACTAAATGAAAGTTAATTTTGTTTTCTATCTATCTATCACTAAAAAAAAAATCATCATTTTTGCACACTTTGTAACGGGAAATTAGAAAATCCAGAAAGATGTTTCACTTAATCCAAGAAAACAAATTTCTTAACTTAAATAAAAATTATGTATGTCAGCTGTTTAATAACTAAAAATTTGAAATTATATTGATGCAAAATAGATGTCAAATATTTAGACGGAGTGACTGTCACTTAACAAGCAATTATTACAAAATTATAAGTAAGCAATTAACTACCTGGAAGTGACATACATATTAACAATTTTCTTACTGAATTCTCAGTGTTTCTCTACAAATTAACAATTTTTTTATAGAATTCTTCATATATATCATCGTAGTTGTTAATGAATAATATCATTGATTTTACATTAATAAGAAAATTCTTCAACAACAGATGCTTAATGGTCATAACTACAAATATATATATATATATATATATATATATATATATATATATAACTATATATATATATATATATATTTGAAATCAAGAGAATTTGTGTTGCTGATAATCTGTTGAGAACTATATTTACTAATCAAAGATTAAAACAATGACAACATATCAATACTACAGCAAGGAAAAAAATACAACCGAAGTTACTTGTTTACGTTAATAATAAAAACCGAATAATATACACTTTTGAAAAATAATATTGATGGTAATTAAGAGGGAGCAGAGAAAATCATCACGTATCAGTAACAGGTTAAAATAGAAATAAATAATTAAAGTAGTAAATTGTAACTTCGGTAACGTAAATATTAATTTAACCACTTTTACATGTTTCATAAACAAAAGGAATAAAATTCTAAGAGAATCCCTCATATTATTAATCTTGAACAAGCAGAAAAAACACATTAAATTTATTTCAAAATACAAAACATAAACATTTCTTTATATGACATAAATACCCCACTTAAAGAAAAGTATATTTTTATACAATGAGAAAATAGATTCGTTATCAATAAGACTAGAGATTGACAATCTTGAAAACTAATAGATCTTACCTATTGCTAAACAAAATTCAACATGAATTTTCTTTTAATTGAGGAATTTTAAATTCTAAAATTCGATTTAATCTATGCAAAACAATCACACCCCTGCAGAAAAACCTACGTTATCAACAGACAACACAAAACCAAAAGCATATGGAAAAGTTATCATAGATAATTAAAAGTTGTTAAAACCTATCATTGAACTAAGGAGATTGAATAGTAACTATGATTTCTCACAGGTAGCGCTAACTACACATACGCCGCACAAAGCTACATGCTGAAACTAATACGTTTTATCATACTCGTTGCTTTGCATTCGCTCATTCGTTCCTCATTCCCAAATCCCAAAATAGAAAACAAACTTTGCTCATCTTTGGGTTTGGTGTTAGTTGCTGGTGACTGGTGATATTTTTTAAATGTATGCGTTTTCCACTTTAGCTTGATTAGTTCTTCAGTTTTGCAAAATTGTACCACAGAAAATATTATAGGTCTATACAGTGTTTTCATTTTGATGTAATATAGGGGTGCACAATCTACGAATCACCTGAACATACTGAAAAAAATTAAATTTTTTTCTTTTCTTATTTGAAACTATTGGAAATTTTGAATCGAGTCACCACTTGTAAACGCTCTCGAATCACTAAGATTCCAACGTAAATCTGTAGTTTTTCAATTGCTTTTGTAACGATTACTGCTACGGATTTTCACATAGCTTTAAAACCGTAATATTTTTAATATAATATGCTTATTCTGGCATGGACTAGGATGTAAACGTGCTAAAACTATTTTAACATAATAAAATAACATAACTAGGAAATTTATTCGGGATTATTCTTGCAACTAAATATTAATAGAAATTTAATTAAACCCTTGAAGTGATGGATTGAACAAATTATTCATTCATTCATTCATTCAATTCATTTAAACAAACATTTATATTTTTTGAAGTTATAATTAGTTCCGCTAATCAGGGAATATATTAGAGTCAAGATTTATTGGAAATATTCATGTACATATAAGCAGGAGTGCAGAAAATTATCAGAGCCTTATATTGCCTATGGACAAAATTTCTTTTTGAATAAAAATTTTAGCTTTTTTTTAGTACGATATCTTTTTCAAAACATTTTTGGGAAATAAATTTTATATAAGAAAATGTTAATTTGATTTTACACAATTCTTGAATAATCGAGGATATGTGTCTTAAAATAATAGAAATCAAAATATATGGAAATACAGTAGCAAACCAATTATTCAGGATGCCTGGGACCATCTCTAACCTAGAGGCCTGAATTTCCCGGTTTCCTGGATTGGCTAAAAAGTGTCATTTATCAATATTTTATTGAAACCAAATTACAATGAAAAAGAGTAACACATTTTACCATAAGAAAATTACTATATTGAAAACAAAATAAATGAATTGCCACAATTTAATTGAGTGGAATTCTTTGACGATGACAATTTCCGGTTTAGAAATAAAAAATTTTTTCCACTGACAATTCACTGACTTTTTTTCCGAATTTAATTTTCCTTGACAATATCTAGGGCTTCTGAATCTGTCATTTTACTTTTAGGTGATATAGTTGTTCAATTTCCAAATTTTCATTCCAGATTCAAAATTTAACAGGATTCGAGTCACGAAAAGGTTCATGCTTGTTTTTTACTTTTTTTAAACTTTTATTTTTAAAACATTATGATATTATAAATAGCAATCTAATTACAAATAACTTTGTCGCATTTTTAATTAAATGTTACCAATTTTTTTTCTTATTTAAATAATGGGTTTTAAAAAAACTAACTACTCAAATTTGGATTTAAATAGATGTTTAATAACTCTCTATGGAATTATGAAATTTGTTCCAATAAAAAAGTTTAGTTGTTTTTTTTCGATAAATTATGAATTTTAGTATTAGTCCGGTCAAATCTCGATGGTTTTTTTAAAAAAAAATTTATTGGTACTTATCTATTTTGCTGTTGCCGGTAATAAAGTCATCAATGATAAAACAGTAAACAGGGTGCGTACAGACTCCTTATACTCCTTAAAAACTCCTTGGAAATAAAAAAGTCTCCAAGGAGTACTTGGAACTACTTAGATTTCCAAATTAGTCCTCCTCCTCCTTAACTCCTTAGGTTATTGCTTTGCATAGATGAACTTACTTAGTCCGCTGATGAATCTGCTGTCCAAGCTGGGAAACTAAATTATATGCAGTGGTGCAAGTGCTGCGCCAATTGTGGAAACCTGCTCCTACATGCTCCAAATTGAAGTAGTTGGCTTAAATTGCTCCAAAAAGGATATATTTCCCTGGGTTTTGTGAAGTCACAATTTTGCGGCAACCAAGCTACTGCCATGTGGGTTGCTCGGATTCAGTGGGAAGGTTTTTTGCACTTTCATGTGCAACTCTGCTTTATTTTGCAAGATATTCTCAATTTCAAGCTTCATTTTCCACTCTCTGAAATGGAACCCAAACTTCTCTCGAATTTTCGAGGACCAACTAAACATTGCCAAATTTTAATAGCAAGAGAAAATTTTTTTTCTCTTGTTAATTTATAGTTATTGAAGTGCTATCAACTTTGTCAATGGCAAGCTAATGGCCTTCTTGTGCTATTCTATTTACAGATTAGTACCATGATCTTTGAATTAATTTGAGGGACCATTCACTAAGTACATATTTTCATGTTGATCCTCAGAGCAGTCAAGAATCACAAAGCTTCATAACCTCAAAATTTCCATTTTCCTTTTATTCATGTAATTTAATAAAGAGAAAAATTAATTGAGTTGCTTAAACATAATTTTTTTTATCTGAGGGACCATCCACTAATTGCATATTGTATTTAAACTAAACATTGATTTTACTCAATTGATTTTTTTTTAAATATTATTTTTCTGTTTTTTACTTATTGCATTTTATTATTGTATTATTACTTTTAAAATTTTTGGTGCTCTTAATTTGTTCAAGGAAAAAACTTAATAATATTTAGAGGCAAGCATGAAGAGAGGGGCTTTCAATATTTTAAATGCAGCAAAAAATCTTATGTTTTTCAGATTTGTCAAATACTATAATTCATCTCTTAATGATTTAAAAATGATCTTTGATTTAAAACAATTGATATAAGAAATTTTAATTATCACAGATTTGTCAAATATTATGAGTGTAGGGACAATATAATAATTCACTTCTGACAAATTTTTTTAGCTTCAATACTCATTGAATTTGCATTTAAAAATTATTTAATTTTTTTTAATCATTACATTAATGAAATACTGTACTAGGTAAACAATTTTAATAAAAATTTATTAAAGTTTTCTTAATTTGTTAAATTCTTTACATATTTTTATGAATTCAGTATGATCAATATTAATCTTGTTAATGTTTTGTTGAATATAGTGTGTCTATTACCAATACCCTAGTGTCTATTACCAATAACATTTATTAAAATTTTAAAGAAAAATACACTCGATAACCTTAAATAATAGTTAAATTAATTAGTGTTGAATTACCTTTTACAGAATTAAATAAAGTAATTATTAATTTAGAAAATAGTATGAGCCACGCAATATTGAATTTATTTAAATTGCTTTTGCAAAAATCTCTTCTTTTTTTTTTAAAGAAATATTTTGGCTATATTAAATTAATTTTTAGGTCTTTTCCAAACTGAGACACCATTGATTCACTTGCTGTATGATGAAATGGTGTCTCTAGTTAAGGCATTGTTAGGGCGTTTTTTAAAGAGTTCTGATTTTCTTAGTTTGTCAGGAAAGGACTTAAAATCATTGGATGTAGAAAACGCAGATATTTGGCAAAATTCAAATTTAATAGATGTTGAACTAGATACCACAAATGTGATGACATCCTTATATCTTCTTTAGAAAAAAAATCTATGTATTTAGGTGCCAGGTCTATGGCATGTGCAAAAAAGTTATTAAAAGCATTGCCTCTTGAAAATAGGTTACTGTTCCATCTTAAAGTGTTGCATCCTGTAATGAGAATGGAAGACACTTCTATTAAGGCATCTTTGTTACTAGATGAATGGACGAGGTTACATAGAAAACCAGAAGGCTATTCTTCTGACTGAAATGAATATGCACCAATTGATATGTTTTGGAAAAACTATTTTGTGAAGAAAGAAAATTTGAGAAATATCGAATATCCTCTTTTAGCGAAGCTTTTTAAATCTCTTTTGTGCATACCACATTGGAATGCCGATGTTGAAAGAAGTTTTAGTGTGAACAAAAAGCTACTTGACAATAGGGCAAGTTTAAATTCACATCGTATTAATGGTTTGAGACAAGTTGTGTCACATATCAACAAAATAGGGGGTTTAAATAACTTTACAGTTGACAAAGATATGATTAAAGTGGCTTGGGCAGCATTTAAAAATTATTCTGCTCAATTAGAGGTTGAGAAAAAAGAAAGTGAAAAGAATGTGAAAACACTGAAATTGAGGAAAGCAGATTGAAAGCTGCTAGAATTCATTTGCAAAAAAAAAAATTGAAGGCTTCTCAGAATCTCTTAGCCACAGCTGAAAAAATATTAAAGATGGGTTAAATACTAAAGACATGTCAATTATAGAAAGCGAACAGATCCTCTTATCTGAGGAAAAGTCGAGGATAGCAGAATATTTAACAGCATTGGAAGATACCAAATAGAAACTTAATTTTTTGATGCAGGGACCTTCATAAAAATGAAAAAAATAAGACATGTTATTAATGAACAAAATTGAAAATTCTTGTTATTAAATTCTTGTTTTAATTCTTTTTATTACATATGCTCCAAATCTTTGTTTCGCTGCTCCAAAATTGCTTTTTTGTTGCTCCAAAGCCATGTTTAGCCACTTGCACCACTGGATATGATTTAGTTGTCAAAATCTAGCTGTTTAAGAAAACTTTTAAAAGAATAAAAATTGAATTGCAAGAGTTAGAAGAAGAAAAATAACAGCAAATAATTTTACATGTTACAAACTTAATTAATAATTTTTTTTTTTTATAAAATGCCTTAGATTTTCTTATGTATTCAAATTTAAAAATATAAGATTGGTAGGTTTTATGTCAATCCTTAACATCTGTACTTTGACAAGATTTATTACAATATTTGAAATTGGAAAATGTATTTATGTGTCAAAGTGATAACTTAATTTTATTTTTCTTGACGAAGTTTGATTAAGTCAAAATTTATTTCAAAAGGGATAGAAATTAAATTCAAAATATACATTTTTGAAAATTCCTTATAGTAACTGCTTTTTAATTTTTGAAAAAGACTATCTTTTACACAAAGTTTTTAAATTTTTGGTAAGTCCTTAAAATTTTGAACTCCTTAGATACTCCTTGGATTTCTTCTTCTGATCTCTGTATGAACCCTGAGTAAATTTTTTTTATTTTTATTATTATTATTTTTTTGTTTGAATAAATGAAATATATAAAAAAATGAATAAATGAAACAGCTAAATTTACCTGTGCAAACAAAATGGATAAGTTCCACTATGGTACCACTTTAAAAACTTATTTTCCAGTTAATGAAATTTATTATTTTTCTTTTATAGATGTCTTGTAAATGCTACCTCAGGAACCCTCATTCTTGCCAATCTAGTCCTTCATGTTATTCGTCTGTACATTATTCTGGTAGTTATTTTATTGCCTTTAACATTGGTATTGTTTAGAAAATATTTCTGCTTTAAAAATAAGAGCTTGAAATATTTAATTTAATTTAATATTTTTTTTAAAAATTCTAATTTTTGTTTTTGTTTCATTTGTAATATTTAAAACCTGTTTGTGGAGTTTTATTACCATGCAGAGTTCAGTCTTTTTTGTCTAAAACTGCTGTGGCATCTCTATAGTTTGTCTATGTCTAAGAACCCCCCTCACCACAAAGTCTGTGGCCATCTGCTGCCATGAAAACAATAGTGCATTTCAGCAAGGCTTCTCTTTACTCTAGGACTAATTCATTAAACCAAATGAAAAGATTTCCTTTCTTTCTCAAACTCGAGCCAAGATTTGTCCTAAACAGTGACCCACACCCCTACTTGAAATATTTATACCTCGTTACCATGGTCACCGCTACAGGTTCAGACAAATGGCTAGGGGAGTTCTTACTTTAGACAAACAATAATTAGTTCTACTCACAAAAATATTTTTTTTTATGGATAAAAAGTTGATTCTATGCTTGCATTTTAGATGTGCATTGTGCAAACAATTGTCTGCAAGATGAACCTATTGCTCCGAATTTGTCTTTGGGCAATCGAATTCTGTGGCTTACTGAACACCATGCGGCTAGTGGCATTGTACGATGGATTGGACGCATCCCAACTATTTCCACTGCATGGACAGCTGGAATTGAATTTGTAAGTGCTTTGTAGTTTTTAAAAAATCTATTCCATTTCCTGTGAAATTAGCCCTTGATTTTACAATAATGCATTCTTATGCTTATTATTTTAATTGCTTATTATCTTATAATTTATGCTTATTATTTCATTAGAAAATCAATGAGTAGAATTATTTTGTTGTAAGTGCATTGTATGTAGCAAATATAATTCATGAAAAGAAAATAACAGTTGTATGTCTTTTGAATGAATTTTTTTTACGTATTAAGTAGTTAAATTATTAAATCAGTATATTACGGGTTTCAAGATAAAAGTTTATTTTCAGGATAAAACCTTACCCACTGGTGGAAATGGAGATTTTGATGGTCGTTCCTTCTTTGTATCTAGACCAGGGCATTCACTCTTCTTACCGGTATCAGATCTTCTTAAAGTGGATGATAACCAATCTTCCAATAATTTATCTGGTACGTTTGATATTTCTCAACTTTTATAGTTGCATGGTCCGTTAATTTTGTAAAAGTTGAGGCCAAACCCACTGACTACAAATTATATATAAATTATATCTGGCACAATTATGTGTAGACAAAGTGCTATTCTGGGAGAAAGCAGGTTCATATCTGGCTGCCAATAATATATGTCCCAGTAATTTATTCTGCAACTCATTTTTTTCTTCAACTTTTATAAGGCCTAAACCAACACCTCCTAGAAAAGAGAAGGCCTCAGCACAGGTTACCATAAGCAAGAAATTTGATCCTTTAGTAGTCCAAACGTAAGGACATCTTTCGTATTTTCTCTTACTGCGCATCTCAGTAGTCGAAACGTAGTAACATATTTCTTAATAACTCCAACTGCGTAGTTTGTGTTTATTGAGTCAGACTACTAAATTGATCCATGCTGAGGCCTTCTCTTTTCCAGGAGGTTTTGGCTAGATACGGGTTGTATAAGGCAAGTCACTGTATGCTAAAGTGTGTGTGTGTGGGGGGGGGGGTGCGCTGCTTTGAAGTTGGCATTCATAGATTGTAGGCAATGATAGATAATTTCCCTGATTTGACCCAGGAGAATTGTTTTAACTGGAAAGAATTAAAACTGAAAGTGGTTTATAGTATATTATATATTAATTCTCTATTTCTATTTTTTTCAAAAACTATTTAGAAAGAACAATTTTTGAAAGATGTATATTTCTTAATCTCATGTAACGATTTTTTTGTTGTACTATTTATAAACAAATTAGATCACATTGATAACTATTAAAAAGATATTTTCTATTCTTGCAGGCAGGAATTCCTTCCTTAACCGGCTGCACGCTCACAGAAAGCGCAGAGATGCCACCCATGGCCATTTTAAACCAGAAAATGTAAGCACCTCATTTAAATTGGGCTATCTAATATTAATATTTTTAAATTGTATTTCATATTTTAATATTATGTATTTGCAACTGCATACTTATTGTACCGATAGTTAAAATATTTTAGTATTCACTAAAATGCTCTAAATATTGGTAGCAGCTGCAATCCAGAAGATGTATGGTTCCAATAGTTCAGTTAGCCTCCTGATTTAAAGTTTGGACCCTTAATGTTATTTTTTTTAGCATATTTTATTCTATCTTCAGAACAAATTGCTCTAATCATAGTTAAAATTTATAAAACATGGTGTGTAGCATTTTTAAAAAGTGTTTAAAAATTTTAAGGTGTTCTAGTTTTTACTTCATCTTAAATTTGTTATTTCAATGGCAGAATATAAAAGTAGAGCAAAAATGGTTAAATAATTTCTGATAAATAAAAATTAAAGAAAAAACATTTTACACATTATGATATAAAATGATGTAAGAATTTGTACAACTTACAATAAAAAAANAGTTTTAATTTGCTAAACCAGGTAGTTTTTCAAGTAATAATTATCTCTTATGTGAACTGAGGAAAAATATAATTTCCAGCTTAATTTTTTCAATTGGTAATTTTTATTTCCGCTAAATGTTAAGTATCAATGTAATGATTTATATAATAATAGATTAGTACACAATTGTATGTCAACACATTATTTATTACCTTAAACTGTCTGGAATTTATTATTAAAGGGTTGCGCTTTCGTAAAATTTACTATCTTGGAAATTCAGCTTTTTTGCCTTTTGACTAATCTCATCCCTGATCATAGTTGTGTGAAAAATCTGAATCTGTAAAAAACATTGCATTCATTCAGGAGAAGAAATTATTTTTGTCTAATTAACATATTTATGCTGCAATAATTTACATATGATCATTATCATCTGCAATAATCAACATATTTAAGGTCTGCTCCTCAAACAATTCAAATTTGCATCATTGTATGTGAAAATGTGAAAATCTGTTTATTTTATCAAAAGTTATTGTGGTTCTTTATTTATGCACTACGCCTATTTGAACAGCAGAAGGAAATTGTATCCAGTTTCAGCTGCATTAAGAATACTGTAAATGCCGTCGAAATTTTTTTTAAAATTAAGATTAAGCCTTTTTTTTATATATGTTACACATATCTCAGGATGATGATAAACACACAAAGATATTTGAAAATTTAAAGTCTATTACTATCTAAATTAGGAGTTTGTTATAGTTTAAATTAAGAATCTATTATTTAAATCTTACATAAATATTAACATTGGTGTTATATATGTATAAAAAATGTATTATCTTGATATTTTCTAGAATCATCCATGTTATATTAAAACATGTTACTTGAAAGTAACAGTCAATATAGTACATATTTTTTTGAAAAAATTTGATTCATTAAATAAATTTAAATATTATTCCTAAGACGTTACCTGTAGAAATTTTAAAATATTTTGTTTCATTTCAGGATTTTGCATGAATAATAGAGTTTGCAGGTATGTTTACTAACTCAAACTAACTGCCTTCTTGTTTTGTTTGCATAATGCTAATAACATGTTTACTTTTAGCTTTCATGTGTACATTTTTTACTTAAACTGTTTTTTTAGTTCTTTTTTAATATATCTATAACTTATGATTAAAGTTATTTTTTAAAAAAAGTTATAGTATGATAATCTATATTGTATATTTTTCTTACACATCAACAAAAAAGGCCTCAGAGGTTTTGTGGTCAACATCCGTATTTTGACTTAATCAATCACAAAACTTGGCTTCTATTATCAATGGTGCATATTTTGTAATTAAGAGAAATGGAGGAAAATTAAAATTTTATGATTATTTTGTTACATAAGTCATATTAATTACGTATTATGGAAAAGAATAAATATTGTCTGAAAGTGATGCAAAATTTTGACCGCATCCTAAGAAAATTATAATTATACGAGCTGATGCATTAGAAATTAGTACTTACCTATTTATAGAAAGTATAGATTTTATTGTTCTTTCTAACAAAAAAAAGAGGCAACTTTAAATTAATGCTATGTACTGCAGTCATGTGATTCTTCTTCTAGTTTGTGGAATTTTGTGAATTATTTACAGATTATCCGCGCACCTGGAAAGTCATGAATTTTGGTATTGAACAAAATTTGTCTTAAAATGTCATGATTTTAACTATTTTTTTAAAAAAAATCATGAAAAGTCATGGATTTAGGTCGTCGAAAAATCTAATTTTTAAAATGGAATTTACCCTCCTCCCCCAATTTCATGGTGTTCCAAATATCTGAATTAGTAACAAAATCCCCACTTACAGTCATATTTGATTAAAATATAAAATGTTTTTATCATGTTCTTTAAAAATTATGGTGTTCTTTCAAAAAATGAAAGAAAACACATCATTTCTAGAGCGAATTATCTTTTAAACTTCTGTTTTTGTTATTATTTCTTGTTTTTATTTTATTAATTTAAAATTTTAGCTAAAGGCAAGCCAGTCATTGGCGAATTTTTTTATTCCGAAATGAGAACAGAAAAATCAGGAGTATTTCTTTCCTTTCTGATGAGCAAGAAAAGTATATTTAGAATATAATTCTGCAGAAAAGAAAAAAAAATTATTTACTCAGCTATTATATTGCTTCAACTCTTTCTTTACTCTGTTTTTTTTTTAATTTAAAATCAATAAATATGAAGTTGTAGAGTATAACAATTTTGGTTATACCTATCATTTTAATTAATATTATTATAATACTTTTTAAATTTATCATTCTGCTTTTGTCGGAGAAAATAGTAACTTCGTTAAGTTATGAAAAGTACATGGAATTAGTCATGAATTTGAAAATCTAGAATGTAGCAGATACCCTGTATTTATTCCCGGTTTTTCACAAATGAATAATTTATATTCCGATAAATATTTCTCGGAGCTAAGCTGTTTTGAAATTTAAATTGTGTTACTTACGCAAAATCTCGTTAACGAGAAATTTTTTCTGCCCTATATCTGCACCCCCACTTTTTCTTCCCAAGTTCTCATTCACGCACGACAACAACTTTTTTTACTCAGATTTGTTTGATAAAAACAATTTCCACAATTCCAAAAAAAAAATTCCTTTGTAACTTCAGCTAGAATAAATGAACCACTGAGGCAAACATAAAAGTATAAAATTGAATTCTGAAATGGCAAACATTTAAAAAAAAAAAGATTGTTTGGTGTACAAAATTGTGTTTTTTCTCAGTTTTATTTTAACCTATAGTTTTATGAGTAGCAATTTTGTTTCAAATTCTGATTTGTATCAGAACTATTTAATTAATGTGATATATTCGCCTCCTCTTTTTTTTTTTATTTGGCTACAATTAAATTAAATAAATTTGAATGTAATACGACATGATAATATGAATCTCGATTTCAGTAATCACTTTTTAACGTGCCCTATATTTTAATACTCATACGTGCTCTTGATTTCTCAAATTTTTTAAACTCCATATATTTTTTTAAACTTAACTCTCTAAATTGCTTTGGGGGTGGGCAGCTATGGGGCCATAGTTGTTGTAAAATAGACCCTGATAGCTGCGGGCTCTCTGAACATAATTGTAGACAATTTGCACCCACACATGGTGTCTGTTTTCCCTAGTAGAAATAGAATCTTCATGCAGAACAATTCCTCATTTTACAAGATCGTGTTAGAGGAGTTGTGAAGGCATAATTCCAATTAAAATGACCGTTTGACCTTTCACATTTGGGACAATCATACAAAGGAGGATCAAACACCATTGCAACTCATGGCCACTGCTTGGACATTTGATACAACAAGTAAGCGATACATGTTTTGGAGGAAGCTGTTATTGATCATAATGTTTTGGCTCTAAAAATAACCAATTTTAAATTCGTTGTTCAAAGAATGCATGGTTTTCTTTTTTACTTTAACATAATGCATTATTTACTTTTATTATTGTTATTTAACTTAATTTAGTAAATTGTACTGCATGTAAAGTATTATGAATTCCCTGAAAATCTACTTTTTGTTGTATTTTTGCTAATAATATAGTGGACGCTCAATATAATGAACTCTGTTGTTCCAACGAAAGTGCATGCTATACTGCAGCAGTTATATCATGAGTACACAAGCAAATATTTACTTAAATGTAGAGCAAATATTTACTTAAAATTCCATAAATATTGCTTTTATATTGACAAAAACGTTATTCCTTCATACGTTTCCTTCAAAATTTTTAATATCTGTTAAGGCATATGACGTAGACATGTGATTTTTCAATATTTTTTAAGTAGTGCTTTCAGTACCTTTTTGTGTAATAATGCATTAATATACTAAAATGTGCAATTTCAGTTATTTTTCATTCTGATTGGGTCACATGTCTGCACATGACATTACATTGATTTGTTGTAGAAAGCCATTTCTGCTAAATAACATCTGTCCAGAGAACTGCTAAGTCTAAGGCTAGACAAAAGCAAGAAGAATGTGAATTTCAATTCCAAAATAAACCACCTTCACAGAAAGTGCGAATACAGTTTTTACACAAGAAAAAAACAGGCGATTGATGTATTTATTGAACCTTTGAAATTTTTTTCCCAAAGGTTATAAATAAGACTCTGGACTCCACACGAGGATACAATCTACACTAAATCTTATTAATGAAAGATACTCATCATTTCAGCATCTATCAATATGGATTATGCATAGGACCATGTAGGAGTAGATAGGTGGTCAATCTTTGTTCATTCATAGAGAATGTTTGGTGAGCTGTAATATTTAAAGTAATAGGGTAGATCATTTCCTTGAGAATCATTTTTAGTGGAAAAATGCGTAAAAATTGTGTGAAATTCTAGAAACAAAATTTTTGTCACTGCATTGGAATGGATGGTTGCATTTGTGGAACAAGAATTTACTCCTTATAATAGAATGCTCGGGACCATCTAGAATTGGATTAAAAATAGGTGGTCCCTCTTAGGATTAGATAAAAATATATCTAAATATTTTCATAATAATAATTTTTTGGTTAATATATTCACAGCTGATATTCACCACTGTAAGAAGCTTTTTTTTCTCTCTTTATAATACTAGGATTCCCCTAAAAGAAGCTGAATCATTTAGGGTTCCATAACCAAAAAAGTTGGGAACTCATGATCGAAAGAATGTTCTAGTCAGTTATAATAAATTATGATTTATTCAGGATTGCCACTCCACAGGGAAAGATAGGGAAAACCTGGAAAATACAGGGAATTTAAAAAGCACCTAAAATAAGAGGGAATTTTGTTTCTTATTTTCGTCCTTTAAAAAATGGTAACCACTCAAAGTGCAATCTATGGGATATTTAAGGATGATATTTCAGCTATATTAAACTATTTCATTTACTATAGCATTATTCGTTTCAAGTATGTTCTGTTCCTTTTTTCCTTAAGTTTAATAAGCAATTATAACTAGTATAGTTAGCTCATATAGGAGCTCATATAAGAGCACAGCGATTGTGTTTTTCCTCTTAATATATTGTGTATAATATGTACGGGGAAAACACGGAATTTTTTTCTTCCAGATTTGAGTAGCAACCCTGTTATTTAACATGAATATTATTGTTTATTGGTTCTGATGTGCTTAATTTTCTTATTCAGTGTTCCAACTGTGCCCAGTATGAATTTGTTTGTACTGGTTGTTCGCGTGGCCATGTTCCTGTCTATGATAGAATTACTTCAAGACCTTCCATACGTTATGATGATCATCACTCTTATGAAATGTACAACTCCAATCTTCCTGCTGTTATTTCTTCAAATAGATCAGGCAGTCCTTCTAACATGGTGCAAGCTTCTAAGGCCAATACAACTGGTCCTGTGGTTCGTAGAAGGGAAGAATTTGCTGACGATCGAAATATTCCCATTAGATATGCTGAAAACTCTCCAGAAAGATTTCAAATTAGGCGAAAAGACTCGTTTTTCAACAGCCTCAGAGTAATTTATGACTTGAAAGAATGGGTCTCGTGTTTGGTAATGGGTACGAATCGAAGGAGGCCAAAGAAGAAGGTAGTTTTTGAAGACAAGAAATCTGTTGCTAGTTTTTATTTCGCTCGAGGTAGCCGAGACTCCCAATCGATTACCGGTGAAAGATTGTCTTCCTTTGCAGAATACGCCTCCATAAATGTTGCGAAATCTTCCAACCAAATTAAGAAATCCAATGTCGGGAATGGTAGTTCAACTCAGTTTCGCAAAAGTAGGAAAAAGAGACCAGCCCCACTACCTCCTATTCCAGAAAAAAATTTTCATTCATTAAAAAATAATTATCTTAGAAATGAGGTTATTTCGGAAAATAGAAACGGAATCACAACGAAGCCCTCCAAATCTGCTGGTGTCATAAGTCAGTCTGTTCATATCAAGAGGAAGCACAAAAAGAGAAAGGCACCCTCACCACCACTCGGGGAAAGCTCTTCGATTCTTTCCGGAATTGGCTCAGTTCTGAGTCTGATTGAACATGCTAAAGTGTCTCAGGACAACCTGAAGCGAACCCAAAAAGACCATAGGCCGAAAAACAAACAGAAGAATGAAAAAGTACCGAAATATCCCGCAAATACTGCCTCCAAAATGAATAAGAAAAGATTCATACCTCGTAACTATAATCAAAATTCTGCGACAGACTCGGACAGTGAGCATTCAGGGCAGGTTTCGAGTAGTTTATCCTCAGCCGACGAGAGCGATGAGATCGTAAGATACAACAAAACAAAAGCTAAGAAAGGTTCAGTGCAACGAAGCTCTAGTTTCATGAAATACGCAGGCACTGAAGATGATGTCTGTGTAAAAATATCCATACAGAAGACGCAAACGAACGTTGTCACGGTTGAAGAACTACCGACGTCGAGTACTGTACATTATACCATAGAAGAATCTTCCTCGTCAGATCTGTCTGAAGAGGAGCCCGAGATAGTTGCCCCAAAAGCATATGCTGTCAAAGCTCAACAAGAATCCAAGTTTAATTCTTCCGACAGCTCTTTCGATGAAGTGAATGACGGATCGAAAAGAACAATATTCGAAGAATTACAGCTTAAGTCTCCAGAAAAAAGCTCTGTGAAGGAATTTATTCAGGCTTTCAACATGCTTGCTGATAAGGGAAGTACAAGTTACGTCAAACAGATATCCAATGGTCATACCGCAAATTTTGGAATTACAGATCAGAATATTTCCAATTATAAAAACTCCACTTCCAAAACATCACAGTCAGTTCCAACAAAGTGGGAATATCAGAATAATAATAATAAAATTAACAACTTCTCTTATTCGGCTAATCAGATATTACTTCCCATTGAGGAGGAATCATTAAACGAATTGCCGGAGCCTGGTTCTAGTGGTATAATCTCTAAGAGTTCTAAAGGAAGAAGTAAAGCATCAATGGAGAATGGCTCTTTGGATTTAAATCAGAACAAAGCCTCAAAAAAGAACTTCAAAGTGGAAGAAAATTTGCATGGGAAAAGTCTGGGGAAGAAACTTCCTGCTAAACTAGAAAAGAAAAAGTCTTCTCAAGCATCTGCTGTGGCCTTAACATCATTGTTGTCTAGTGGGACAAATGACATAAGTGAAGGTTTGTTGGTTATTTTTATCATTATATTCTTACTTATGCATGGTGCATAGTGTTTTTAAAAAGTGCTTAAAGGTGCCTATTTTCGATTTTCGTTATTTAAAAGTCCTTAAAGGTGCTTTTTTCATTGGATGTTTTTTAAAGGTGCTTAATTTTTCCCTTTACAAAAATTAGATTTTTTTCTTTACCATGTTGATTTTTGCCATGTATTATGCTTTTCACATTGTTCTATTCAATGTTTTCACAATTTATTCAACCACAATCCATTTTGACTTACCGTCAGTCCATAGCCTATGAAAGTTCTAATCATTTTGCGTGTTTGATGAAGTACTCGCGAGTAGCGCATGTGCGTCTGCTGAGCTGAGTTCGGTGAGATTCTTGCATTCTCACGTGCAACTCTGCTGTATTTTGCAAGATATTTTCCATTTCAGGCTTCATTTTCCACTCTCTGATATCAAACCGGAAAATCTTTTGATCTTTTTATGGTGTCTAATATAATTAGAAAAGAGATGTCTAATATAATTAGTCAGAAACTAGTTATTTTATCATCATCATGTAAAGTCTTTGAAAATTATTTTGCATTTTGTTAATGTATATAGTGCTTAAAAATATTTTATGAGTTCTTATAAAGTACTTAAAAGTGCTTATTTTTTGTTGAAAGATTTGACTATGCACCCTGTTACAGAAGGGGGATATGGAAATTGGATGGCCTCTGCCAAGGCCTGATATAGACTCATCTTATTAATTGAATGAAGTCGTTTGAGTTCTTACTTTCTGTGGGATTGTTCAAATTTGACCTAAGCATGATTTTTACCCCCTTTTCCATGCTTGCATAAGAAACCCCCTTTACATTTTGTTTTAGTTATGTCTTTTGAAATTAGGATGAATTCAAATCAAGGATATCATTTTACATATTAATTCATGAAATTTTGAGCAGAAGTTGCTTAAGAAGTCTTGCCTTCTGAAACTCTTTGAAAAAACAATTCTCCTTTCTCTAAATTCAACCTTTTATTCAAAATTTGAAATTTTTTCATGCATAATTTTTCCCCCTTACGTAAACAAGGGGATTTTATTATCTCATGTAAGCATTGCTGATACCAGGGTGCATAGCGTTTTTAAAAAGTGCTAAAAGGTGCTTATTTTCATTTTTTAGAAACCCTTAAAGATGTATTTTTTCCCATGGGTGTTTTTAAAAAGTGCTTAATTTTCCCTTTTCCGCAATGTCATATTTTTCTTTACTATGTTGATTTTTACCACAAATTATGCAAAAAGACGCTGTCCTATTCAACGTTTTCACAATTAATTCAACCCCAATCTATTTCAGCATACCGTCGGTCTCCAGTGTGTGAAAACACCATTTGTTTTACATGTTCGATGAAATATCTGCGAGTCCGCACTTATACTGAGCTGGATTCAGCGTTAAGGATTTTTGACTCTCATGTGCAACCCTGCTGCATTTTGCAAGAGATTCTGAATTTCAGACTTCATTCTGTAATAGAATCGAAAAATCTCTTGAATTTTTGCTGCTTACGGGGACCAACTAAACATTGTAAATTTTTTTCCTCTATTAGCGATAGAAAATTTCCTTTCTCTTGTTAATTTTATCGTTTGTGACCCGCCATCGTCTTCGTCACTGTAAATAAAACCGGATAAAACCATCAATTGTCAAAAACTTGCCAACCCTGTCTAATAATGATATTTTTAAAAGTGCTTAAAAATATTTTTTGAGTGCTTGAAAAATGCTTAAAGGTGCTTATTTTTTGTTGAAAAATTTGGTTACGCACCTTGTGATACTCTTCCTTACCCTTGTCAGCAAAAATAAACAAGTCGCAAATCCCTTCCTTTCGTTAAGTGCTTATGTAATATATTCTTTTACCACCTTCAAATTGAACACATATATAAAAATGATATAATACTTCATTAAGTGCAATAAGCAATTTAGAGTTAAGTGCCATGATCAGAAAACAGCTGTCAAATAATTTTTCGTATATCTTTGCAAATTTTGGCATAGTCATATTAACATAGTCATTTTAAATCAGGGCTAAAAAATAGCTGATGAGCCTAATTTAAAACCAGGTGTGCTTGTTTTAAAATGCTGATGAATCTGACCTTTAAATGTTAGCCAAAGTTCATTTATTATCATCTAACTCACAAATTTGAAGCCAGCTAAATCTAAAACTGACGCCTGGTGGCTGAGCGGTAGCGCTATGCGCTGTCGTGCCACAGGTCCCTGGTTCGATCCTCGGGCCGGGCAAGGCTGACTCAGCCTTTCATCCCTTCAGTGGGTCGATAAATGAGTACCAAGCACGCTTGGGAACTAAACACTGGGGGTTCCGCGTTCAGNGATACTCTTCCTCACCCTTGTCAGCAAACTAGTCACAAATCCCTTCCTTTCGTTAAGTGCTTATGTAATATATTCTTTTACAACCTTCAAATTGAACACATATATAAAAATGATATAATACTTCATTAAGTGCAATACGCAATTTAGAGTTTAAATGCCATGATCAGAAAACAGCTGTCAAATAATTTTTCTTATATCTTTGCAAATTTTGGCCTTTATTAGTCATTTTAAATCAGGGCTAAAAATAGCTGATGAGCCTAATTTAAAACCAAGTGAGCTTGTTTTAAAAAGGTGATGAATCTGACCTTTAAATGTTAGCTAAAGTTCATTTATTATCATCTAACCCACAAATTTGAAGCCTGCTAAATCTAAAACTGCTTTCTTAAATTTAATTTTTGGTTACAGGTTTTAGTCATATTCTATCGTAATGACTCAACTTCTGAGGGGAAAAAATTATAACTTGTTCATAGAATAAATCTAACTTTGTTGTTTCTAACATGTTTGGAAAAAAATAAAAACAAGTTATAAATTGTGAAATTTTTTCCTTTATGACCCATTTTTATTCCCTTTTTTGAAACTATTTTTTTTAATAAATGTTAAAGTATAGTTTTTAGTAAACTTTAAAATTTTTAATGTACATGTTTTTAATAAATGTTTTTTTTTAGTTATTTTTTTAAAAAGAAACAAATGTATGATAAAAATTTCCATTTTTATATTCAATAAACTTTTAGTTTCCTAAATTTGAGTAGGATTGTTTAAAATTCTATACAAACAATTCTCTATTTCAGGAGATACTACAGATTCTCTAAAATCTTCCCAACAATTAGATAGACCAATCATGTGAGTATTTGAAATTGTGCTGCATTACTGTATTGTGTTGTTATTGTTGTGAAATCTTCTTATCATGTAATATGTCTTTAAAATTTTTATCTATTTGACATAAAATTACTTGATTTCCTGATCGCCAGTTAAAAAATTATGCAGTCATTCAAAACTGACAGAGGGTGTTGGAAATCTTATTATTTGTTTATTACTGGATAAATTATGCTAAATATCACAGTCATGCTATTTGCCATGTAATTGAAAAAACAATTTAAATGTTTTATGATGGAATTTTTAAACAGAGCGATTATTTTTTCCTCTTTATTCTGTTATGCTAAGATAGAATTTCAAAAAATTTTAAAATTTTTTTTTTGAAATTTTTTTTTTTTGCAATGTGTATTTTACTGTATGAAAATGTAAATTTTGAACTTTTTGTCGCTTATGATGTTTTGTTTTTATTACTCAGCAGTTTTTCAGTCAATCTTTAAAAAAAAAAAAAATTCTAGAATAAGGAAAAAAGATAATAAATAAGAATTTTAAAATCATTTTTTTTTTCAGAAATGCCTTAGAAATCACAAATTATTATTACTTTTCTTTTTGCTTTGCAGTGAAGCTTATATTCTTAGTTTGTAACATTCTTTTTTTTTTTTTTTTTTAAATTCTTAAGAAATTTTTTTTTAATACCATGTATTTTTCTCTAATTAATATAACCTCAATAATTTTTAACTCATGTTCTACAATTACAATAAAATATTTGCATTACTTCCTGGTCTCACACATTTCGTCCTATTTCTTGCAACAATGTTCAAAATATTTTTTTTTTTCGATCAATCTACTCTACATTTAAAGTTCTAGCTAAAAATTCAATTTTATTTTAATATATAATACTTACCCTTAATAATTAAATTTCAACGAGTGTTGTTTTTCTATAGAAAATTATTGTTAGCTAACACTAGAAACAGTACTAAAAACAATGTATTTTCCCCCTTAACTGTGTGTCTGTGTGTATGTATATATGCCATATATATATACATATATATATTATTATTATTTTTTTAAAATTATTTTTTATTTAAAATTTAGGGTTGGTCTGCATATTGAAAATAAGTCTTCTCATCGTGGTCCTTTGCCTTTATTGGTGACACCATCAATGTCTTTACGAAAATTGAAAAAACAAGTAATTATAAAAAAAAATTTCTCTCTTGAATAGGGGTATTGTAATATTATTTGTTAGCAATAATGATACTTGTAACACTAATTAAAAACTAAGTATGTTAAAACACAAACATCTTTATTGAACTGAACTTCAATTCACAAACTGGGCGTTTACTGACTGGTGTCGCCTAAACAAAATGAGGAAATAAAGATGCTCCAGATGTCTCGCTTTTTTGAAAAAAGTGAATTCTAAAGTAAAAACATGAATAAAAAATTAATTCAATAAGAAGTATGTAAAAATTTCAAGTTCATAATAAATGACATGCAAAAGAGTCAACAGTTCAATCTATCGGATGGAAAATTCATTCTTAATGTGTTTTCACAGTATAAAAATGTGAAGGGGGCGGCGTGGTTTCTCACCGACCTGCGCCAAAACCCGTCTTAAACAATGACTACACACCCCTATTTTAAATAGTTATACCTTGTTACTATAGTCACCACCATGGGTTCAGATGAATGGCTTGGGGAATTCTTACTTTAGATAAACTATAAAAGCATTAGGTATTGATATCTATGAACCACATCTTTGAATCATTTGTAAAGAATACCTTAGCACATCAAATAATAAAGGCTGTAATCAAATTAAAGCCAAAAGTAAAGGCTTCTTAGCAACTACTTCTAACGGTTTGTGATCCGTCTCAATAGCTACTAGCTTGTGGTAAATATAGTAATTAAATTTTTTTGCGCACGTGTAACATAGCCAGAGCTTCTTTTTCGATTTTGCGGGTACCTCTGTTGAGTGCTTTCATGGAATAAGCAACTGGTCGGCCCTCCTGGAAAGGTTCAACTTCAGTAGAGTTAGAACTAACATTGGCAGCAACTGGTTTATTTACATCATAATGTGCTTACTTTAACATATTTTGCAATGTTTCTTTCAAATATAAGAAGGCATTTTCTTGATCATATGACCATTCCAAAGTAAAATTTTTCTAAGGAAATCTACGCATAAGTTCTGAAATAGTTTAATTATGAGAAATGAACTTCTAAACCAACTTCTAATGAACCAATAAATCTTTGTAACTCAACGACACGAGTTGGAGTTTTCAATAGCTTTAGTTTTGTGTCGATCAATTTCAATACCTTCAAAACTAAAAATATGTATTAAAAATTTGCCTGGAAAAAAACTTAAACTTTAGCTTTTTTTTAAGCATATTTAGACATACTCTGTGATCTGACAATCTGTGCATAACTTTTTTCCTTAGAGTGGTTAATTCGTTTTCTGTATTTGCCCACCTAAAAATATCATTCATTAAACATTCAATGTTACCTAGACCAATCAAAATCGATTTTTTTAAAATTATTTTTTGTAATGATTTTTATTTCAGGTTGAATCAGAATACAGTTTTCCTAGACTGCAACAATGCTGGATTTTTGGTGAATCATTTGCTGTGCAGGATGATGCTTCTCTTGCTAGTTATGGTGTCACAAAACCAGGTTGCTCTGTTCTTTTATATGTTATGTCCAAGGAATCTTTGCCTTCACGTTACAAACAAAATTCTGCTGGTAGAATCAATGCCAAGCTTCATATGAAAACACCTAAGGAAGTTGAGAATGGGTTATTAGATGACAAAAAGAAAGGTAAAATATATATTTGTTTTATTTTACTGCTTTTCTAACATTATGGTAATCATGTATAATTAAATATACAGAAGTTTTCTCAGAAGTAAATTATTATATGATCTCTACACTTGTAATGTTTAACAAATCCAAGATAATTGAATTTGTTATTTGAATTGTTTTTAAATCAAATCATTAAAAGATGATTGAAAGCTTTTTTACTAGGACAAATCTGAATAACATAAGATTTTTCGCCGCATTTAAAATATTTAAAATCTCTCATTTCCTACTTTTAAAGTTTTAAGAATTTATGCAGTTAGTGGAGGTTCTTTCAGGTAAAAAATATTATGTTTAAAAATTTCATCGAGTTCTTTTCTTTATTAAATTAAGTGAATAAAAGGGAGATAGAAATTTAGAAATGATGGAACCCACATGAAAAATACCTAAGGAAATTGAAAATGGGTTACAAGCTGAGAAAAAGAAGGGTAAAATGTATTATTTATTTTACTGCTTTTCCAACATAATGGTAACCATGTATCAATAAATATACAGTTGCTGGACAAATTATCAGACTCACTGTAGTTTTTTAATAATTACATATTTTGCACGAGTTTATTTTCAGTACTTATATATTTAAACACGCACGCAATGAGTTTTCATTCAAGAGATTTTTTATTTGTTTCCTATTTGTATTTATTTTTAATGTATTGCATTACTATGTTAAACAATTGATATACAAACGTAAACAAGTGCAAACAGGTTTCAGTCGTGTGCATCAGTTGCGGACGTGCTTCTGTGATTTTATGCTCCATGTTTATTTGTTTCTCAGTTTTATACTTTGTAGTTATTTGTTTATTTTTTGTGCAGTGTTTAAATAATCAATTAGAGCATTTTCAGCAAGGGCAAAAAATGGGAACTTTCACCATGTGAAAAAGCTGAAGTAAAAGCCCTCGTGAATGCTAAAATATTTACAAACTGCGAAATATCACAAAAATTGAAGGTTTCAGAAGCTAGCATTAGCTGCGTAAAGAAGAAAATTTAGTCAATGGACGAATTGAGCTCAAAACTAAAGAAAAGATGTGGCAGAATCTTATAGTGTGTTTAATAATTTTTCAAGGGACTGTATAAAAAGAATCAGTTGTTCTTTTTTTTTTTTCTTAAGTTGAATTGTTAGATATATTTCATGATTTGAATGTTTTAAAATTCCTAAATTCTATGTTAGGTCTGATAATTTTTAGATTAATCTATTAAATGAGCTGTAATTCAATGTTTTACCTTTTTTAAGACTTAAACAAAATTTACAGCCACATTTTATTATTAATGATATAAAGTGTTGATTTTTATCCTGTATAAAGATTCAACTTGTTTGATGAATGTCATAATCTTTTAGGTGATATTGAGCATTTTTATCCAAAGGATTCTCGTAAAGAAGAAGAAGCAAATCAGCTGAAAACTTTGAGTCAAAATAAGGTGAGATGTATATATTTTTCACCATGTTTTCATTGTATTGAATGTAAAAGAATAATACTTTAAGAATTTTTAGATTTATATTTTTCACATGTATAAAGTTGTAACAGTCAACTTAAAGAAAGAAATTTAAGAAAGATATCTTCTGATTTTGTGTTATTTTAAAGAAAAAAGTTTGTAGCTTGGGATATGAGACATTTAGCATAAGTCAAGTGATTATAATTTATTGATTATTAGAGAAGTTTATTAAACATACTCTTAAGACTTCTCTACATTAGTTTTATTCGGTGCCTACTTACAGCGCGAAACCTAAAATTGTGACAGAAATTGGCTTATTCTCGGTCAGGTTTGGATTATTATATTACTGCCAAACTATTTTGTTTAAACAAATATGCTGCTGACAAACTTCACAAAAAAAAAATTATGAGAGTATAAAATTACATCGATTCTGCTATGGGAACTACAGGACCCAGGATATTTAAATTTACGAGACTTTTTTTTTTAACTGTTTTCAAACTTTGCACTTACAAGGGAAACTAGGGAAGTGTGACTCGCCAATTTTAAAATAAACTAGTGGGATGTATGCCTTATGAGAAATAATTTTAAGGGGCAACATTCGTTTTGGCCCATAGAAGGTCCTGTGAGAGATAAAAAATAATTCAATATATAGAAAAATCGATATTTTATTACTTCAATGCAGACTATTAGTTATTGTAATTGTCTCATACTCCAATTAATTT